CATTCTTTTCCTCGATTCGGGATTAAAATTGGTGACTTGGGACACCCTAAATCTCCCAAGTGGCGACTCTGAAATAAATAAACCAATCCCGTTTCGATTGTCCTTTAATTGGAAAAACTCTCTTGCACCCTCTCGGGTGCGTAAAAAGGAGGTGTGACAGGGTTGAGGAGCTAAAATGGGCAGAAAACTGGACAAGAAGTAAGAATGCAAAAACAGAGCTGTTCAAGAGTCTATTAGCAAGATGTGTATACTTTGTATGGCAGGAAACGAACGCAGGACTATTTCAAGCCAAAGCGAGGAACTGGGAGATAATTAGTAAGCTAATTGTACAAGAAGTACATTGTATAAGTAACAGTAAAATAAGAAAAGCTCTAAGTAGATTGAATTACTATCCAACATAATAGATAGAGTAACAGACGGATAGCAATAACGTACAAGGGAGGGAGGAGAAGAATAGGAATATCTGTAAGGGTTTTGTATTGATTGTAAATACTTTCCCTAGTATATAAAAGTTAATTACAAAAAAAAAAAGAATCCTAATTTCTCCCTTTCTTCTTTCTTAAAACTTGAAGCTACCACTGCATGGAGCAACAAGCTCCACCATTTTTAAATAAATAAAAAATTAATTATTTCAATATAAGAAATATTATCTTTCTCGCTTTCTTGACGGTGACAAAAAAAAATTGAATCCTCTGCTCCTCTTTTGGGAGAGAGAGAACCTTGGTTTCTTCTTCTTCTTCTTCTTCTTCTTCTTCTTCTTCTTCTCCCCTTCAAAGTCGCCGCCAACCACCATTGTTGGAGCACCAAGCTCTGTTTTAAAAATAAATAAATTATTATTAGAGAAAAAATCTGAATTAAAGACTTAGAGAGAGAAACTCTAGTCTCTCTCCTCCCTCTTTTCTTTACATCACTGCCGCCGCTAGTTTTGTGGAAGAAGAAGAAATAAAATTTTCTATTCTATTCTTTGCCATGACTATTGGAGTAGTAAACACCAATTTTGTTTGGTTATCTGTGAAAAAGTGAGAAGTTTTTCTTCTCTTAATTTCTTTTTCTAGATTGGCAATATCTTCTAAAAGTAGTCACAGTCAGATTAACATGCAATAATAATTTTCTGGCGGCAATTGGGGATGGGGCTGCTAATCAATTTTGATAATAATTGGATTATAAATTGATTCAAAACTTATTTTAGGTCAGTATTTAATGAAACTTGTTGTTTTCTCTTATTTATTTATCAAATCTAAAAACTAATTTCAAATTAAACTGATAAAAAAATATTACAAGTTGGTTAAACAAATTAACCATACTCAATTACACAGTAAACATAAAAANTATATATATATATATTTCTCGGACCAGAAGGGCTCTGATACCAATGAAGGAACGCGATAAATCTAAACACATTAGATAGCGCATAAATCATAAAACGAGAACTTACTTGTTCTTCGTGAAGTGGAAGCAAAAATCTGACGAGCTGGAATCACTAGTCGATGGTGGTTGTCACGATGTGTTGGAGCAACTCCCTATTCCGCAGTCTAAACCCTAGTCTGACTTTAGGAGAAGACTAGTACTGCAAAGTGTGATCCTTTATTGGACACAACGAGTTTACTTATATAGCGAATACTAGAGTTACAGTAAGTACTAAAATTATTGTGTTTTGCCCTAGTGGGCCCTAAGAGCACCCCTTATGGTTGAACTCTATTTCCTACAGGAGAAAAATGAGTTCATGAAGAAAATATTTTCCAAAACATTTAAGTCAACCAAACATCAGACAATAGAAAAATATTTTCTGAGAAAATATTTTCCTTTTATTATTAATTAAACAAAAATCATTTTAGGAGGTTCCCTCAAGAATTCACTTTTCTCCTTTTTGAAGTTTAGAGAAGAGTTATGAAGTGTTATGAATTATGTGACAAACGAATTGGAACTGTTGAATGGAGTATAAGATATTTTCCTAATAATCAGTATGACCAGCATCCTCTGTAAATTTTTGTTGTGTACATTTAGCCAGATTAACTCAATTTTTTTACAATTAGCTCAACCCCCTCCCGTTGCTGCAAGCTGCTCTAACTAGTATTCTAAAACTAAATAAAAGTTGAAGAAATCTATTTTTCTTACCTTAAATTTCTTTTTTTTCCCCGGACAAATAAATAATACGGAATATCATTTGCTTGTTCTAAACCAAATCAAATATTAGCTAGTCCACTTTTGCAAGAAAGGGTTTGGTTCAATAACTTATATCTAGTTTTGCAGTATTTGACTAATCAATTTGAGAAATATTTTTGAACAGTAATTAGTATTTGGCAAACATTTAAAAAGTGCTTCTAATAGGTTATTTGACCAAGCTTCTAAAATTAACTTATTTTGAAAAGTATTTTTTTCAAAAATACTTTTACAAAAAAGTACTTTTCCTGAGAAGTAGTTTGTGTTTAGCTAATTAATTTAAAAATACTTATGAGCACCAGTTAGTATTTAGCCAAACTTTTAAAAAGTGTTTTAAGTGTACTTTTCTGAAAAAAAAATACTTTTCAAAAAGTAATTTTGGGAAGAATCTATTTTTTTTGTTTCTCAAAAACTACTTATGCTTTTACTTAAAAGCACGTTTTTCTTCTAAAAGTTTGGCCTAATATCTTAACTTTGGAAAAACGTACTTTTGGCTGAAAAGAAGTTTGACAAAATATGTCATATGTTTATTTTCTTAAAGTATTTTTCAAAAAAATATTTTTGGGGAATAACTAGTTTTTTGCTTCTCAAAAGGTATTTATGTTTTTACTCAAGAGTAATTATTGTTCTTTCTAAAAGTTTGACCAAACTGTTTAACTTTGAAAAATTACTCCACACTTCACTTTTATTTGACATGTATACTAAAAATAAATTTTTAATTTTACTTGTCACTTTAAGCATATTAAGAGAAGACAATTTTTTTTTTCCTATTATACCTAGAATATTTATTATTTATTTTAAATTATTTTTTTAAATCCAATAAAATATGCATTAGTTAATATAAATATCATAATAAATTATATACTTTATTTATTATTTTTTAAAGAAAATAAAAAATTAAAACGTGTCAAGTAAAATTGAACGGGAGAATTATTTTGATAAAAAAGAAGTACTTTTGGTTCAAAGTACATTTAGAACCAAAAAAATAAGAAAAGATCAAAGTCATTTAGTGGGGTCCGACCAATGATCTTTTTGAAATTACCAAATAGAGGTGTCTCAATCCAATCCAGTCAGCTCCTCTCTCTCCGCCGCTCGGTCCACGCTGTATTCTCATGTCCTCACTTCTCTACTTCCCTCTTCAATTTGGTAGGGCTACTGAATCAGTTCAACCGCTACTACAGCAACGACAACGTCCCAGTATAAATTTTATAAGTGAGATTTGGGGAGAGTAATATGTACGCAGATCTTACCCCTACCCCGAAGGGTAGAGAGGCTGTTTCCAGGAGACTCTCGGCTCAAAAAAGCAACATGAGCCGATATATTAGTACCATAAAAATGCATAATAAAATAACAGCAATATAAGAGATATGAAATACAGAATACGAAATACGAAATAGATGGTTGGTATAGTAAAACTAGCAGGTAAAGCCCTGCATCAAAAGACGACCAATGACATTCTTAGTCTAACTCCTAACTAGGTTGTCTCACTCTATTGTGTTGTAGAAATATTCACAACTTTCTCCTAACCTACAACCTTAATGCTCGACCTCCATAATTCCCTGTCAAGGGCCATGTCCTCAGTAATCCTAAGTCGCGCCATGTCCTGTCTGATCACCTCTCCCCAATACTTCTTAGGTCGCCCTCTACCTCTCCGCGTGCCCACTACAGCCAGTCGCTCACACCTCCTCACCGGTGCATCAGTGCTCCTCCTCTGAATGTGCCCGAACCATCTGAGTCTTACTTCCCGTATCTTGTCCTCCATGGGGGCCACGCCCACCTTCTCTCGAATATCTTCATTCCTAATCTTATCCATCCTTGTATGCCCGCACATCCACCTCAACATCCTCATCTCTGCTACTTTCATCTTCTGGATGTGTGAGTTCTTTACCGGCCAACATTCAGTTCCATATAACATGGCAGGCCTAACCACTGCTCTATAAAACTTACCTTTTAGTAACGGTGGCACTTTCTTGTTACACAAGACTCCGAACGCTAACCTCCACTTCATCCACCCCACCCCTATACGGTGTATGACATCCTCGTCAATCTCCTCGATCCCCTGAATAATCGATCTACGTTACTTGAAACTACCCCTCAATTACTTGAGAGTCGAGCCTCACTTCAACTCCCCGCTTCCTTCAGCTCAACTCCAGTCAGCCTCGTCAACCGTTACTCTCTCCCAAAAACTAACCATCTATTCCTCCGCTGTACAGCAACATCGACACTCCGACCAATTTTGAGGACATGGAAGCTTCGTCCTCATCCTCCGATTCCGATGATGACTTTTTTGCTCCGTCTTCTTGGCCTTCTACTTCAGCTGTCTACAGCTTATTGCCTTCCAATAAGAAATTGCGCCGATCCAGAACTGCTCCGGCTATGGTCTCTATGGAGGACCTCTTTAAATCACCCACTCAATCTGTCCACCAATTTGGCCCTACTTCTCTCGTCAGACAGGCCGCTTTTCTGCTTGTAGTTTACCTCTCTCTTGGTGTCGTCGTTTATTCCTTTAACCGTGACCACTTCTCTGGAGTTGAGACCCACCCGGTTGTTGACGCCCTTTACTTTTGCATCGTCACTATGTGTACCATTGGCTACGGCGACATTGCTCCGATTACTCCCTTGACTAAAGTCTTTGCTTGTATATTTGTGCTTGTGGGATTTGGGTTCATTGACATTTTGCTGAGTGGGGTCGTCAATTACGTACTTGATTTGCAGGAGAACTTGTTATTGGCCGGCTTTAAAGTACAAGGGCAACGGCAATTCGATAATGGGCATGGGCATGGTGGCGGACTCTCCGCCTATATCGTCGACGTAGCCAAAGGCAGAATGAGAATCAGAATGAAAGTGGGTTTGGCTCTGGGAGTTGTGCTTTTATGCATTGGTTTGGGGTCAATGGTGTTGTATTTCCAGGAGAATTTGGATTGGATCGATTCATTTTACTTATCAGTAATGTCTGTTACCACTGTGGGATATGGTGATAGGGCTTTCAAGACCCTGCCGGGAAGGTTGTTCGCGTCAATTTGGCTTTTATTCTCCACCCTCGCGGTGGCACGTGCTTTCTTGTATTTGGCAGAGGCCAGGATTGACAAGAGGCACAGGAGGATTGCCAATTGGGTATTGCAGCGCGAAATCACCATTGAAGATCTGCTTGCCGCTGACATTAACAATAATGGTTTCATTCGGTAAAAAGCTTTTTTCCTTTCTTTCTTTCTTTCTTTGTTTCTTCCAAACCATATTTCACAGCACATTATCTTCTTACTACAAGTGTCTGCCATAAATTTTGTCACCTTTGAGTTCATTATTGACATTTGTCTTCCTCCTGCAAGAATATAGGTAGGATTCTAGAGTTAACAATTTATAAACTCAAACGAGAAGATGAAATATGAGTGTCAATCTTTAATCTCTTCCTCTCTTTAATGTTTGTGTAATATGATGGGACCAACACCCCTTTATATAGTGTTTGGAATGTCTCTTGATATGGTCTGTTCATCGATAGCCAAAATCAATAAGCCAATGAATACATCCTCTTAGTTAAAGGAACTAACATTTAAATACACAATTCAGTTATGTATTTGTATCTTGCAGGTGGACACAATGATCAAAATGGTCCTTAATGTATGAGGGTCGGACTATTTTGATCCTTAATATACAATGTAAGGGAACGGCGTCATTGGGTTTGTCTTGAGTTAACTTCTGTTGTAAGGGAGCAAGTATTAGTATTACTTGCTTCTTCCGAGATTCTTTGCTGACTATGAGCCATTATGTTAGACATTTTGACGATATTATTTTGCCTCACTGCTAAGCTAGAGATTGAACCATCATGGGTCACACGATAAAGTAGTATTGCAACGGAAGGATACATGTTAACAAAAATCCATTTTATATGCTATAAGCTAAGACCTGAAGATCACAAATCAGATAATCAAGGTAAACCAATGGCTTTTTCTCCATGAGAATACAATGGTACTTGACCATCTTGGAATGATTAGTCTTTCACTGAACTCAAACTTTCCACCATCAACTTCTTGGCTTGTGGGAGAACTAGTTGTGTGCACCTTAACTATTCCACTGGTACTTGCTACCTCCCACTACATAGGTATCCGGTAACTCTGTCCACCAAACCTTAGGCAAATGTGAAGAAATCACTTAGCTTTTTTGGTTTATGTTGAATTTGAACCCCGGTCTCCAAGGTTTCACTCACCTCATTGACCCCTAAGCCACTCTCTTGGGTGCCATATAATTTTTATAACATAAATATCTTTGTCTTATTTTATGACGGTTTTGTTTGTCATGAAAATAATAAGTCAATTTGACATACATGTTTTATTAGTATCACAAAAGAAAACATTAAATTAACCGTTAAGAAGTTGTTTTGATAGTAAAAAGCACTTCCTTGAATACCCTAAATTCTTAAATGAATTTGAATTTGAGTTTGAATTTTTGAAACACATGAAAGACATAATTGGCATGGAGGGATTAAAAGCCTCTTCTTTTGCAATGTATTACAGGAAATCAGAATATGTCATCTACAAGCTCAAGGAAATGGGAAAGATCAGGGAGAAAGATGTAATGCAGATATGCAATCAGTTCAACAAGCTCGATGAAAACAATTCTGGGAAGATAACATTACCCAGTCTCCTGCAGAGTCATTTGTAGCAAATATTCTTTTGCTACCATGAAGTATCTGCTAATTTCCAAGAAAAAGGTTAGTTGTTGCAAACGTTTGATTTCAAACTTTTGCTTTTCAACTTTTCTTTTCTTGGAAGACGGCGTTGTTCAATATGTATATTGTACATAAATTTGGCCCCAATGAAAAGGATTTGAATACCCTATAGAAGGATTCTGAAAGATGTGGATTTGTCGAGAAAACTTTGTTGAAGCTAGATGGTCTCCCAATTTCTGTTTCATAGGATATGAGACTCTCAAAGGTGAATCCTCAAGGGTTTGTCTTTATATTGTTCATATGAAAGCAATTAGTTCAAAATGAAAAGGCCAAGGGAAAGATTGAACTAGACTAAGATTTTTATTGCTTTTAGGTGATTCTTGTATGCTTTTGTTGTAGATTTTAGTAATATGAGAAGCAAGTAGAGGTTTCCTTTATCAAAAGAAGCTATATGTCAAATGATGAGAGAGTGACTGCTCAAGAATGCACCAATAGAACCAGGCCCCAACTCCTCGTGAGAGACGAAAAGGGAGGGAGAAAAGGAACGGGAAGGGCATAAGTATAACTTCTAGCATGCTGCACATAAGTGAACATTCATGATACACTTGTTACCTTCTCAAAGTTATAAGCTACGACAAAAGCAGCTCTTGTCCAAACTTAGGGTTTGTAGTTGAATTCCCTGATCTAAAGTTTCAACAGATGGATAGTTTCAATACAAATCCGCTGAGTTGTCATGTCCTCTCGTGAAATGAATGTCAGTTGACTGACAACTTGAATGTTGTGGCAAATATTGCACGAATATGCTCTCTTTTTCCTGCTTGGTCTGATCACTCTCCTCTTTTAAAAAAGAAAACAATTTAATAAGCGTGTCAGACATAACCTAGCTGATTTTCAAGAACATCTCGTCTCTTTTGGGTGGAATGTGGTTTACCTTTTATTCTGAGCATTAGTGGTTTGCATGGGTCTTAAAGGTCATGTTTAAAGGGGTTGGCTTTTTATGAGCCCCCAGAGCATTTTTCTTTCGCTTGATATCTCATGCTTCTATGTGTTCCCAAAATCATATGTTGAGAAATAGTTATCTTCCAATGTTTTAACTTTGAAAAGATAAACACCCCAAAGTGCTCACTCAAAAGGGCTAGTCTGCAAGAGTTGAAAGCAATATAAGATATCTGCTTCTCTCATATGTTAGCCATCATTCAAAAGTTTTTATATTTAGGTTTATACATATTTCCTGGCTCTATTTACCCGTTCGTTTGAAGATTCAGAAAGTGACAATAGATAATAGTAGCTTTTTGCATCCTTTTGTTCGAGAACAGAATCTTAACCTGTCCGGATCAAATGCATCACTTTACTGTTTGAATAATGAACCTTTTGCGGTTTCAACATGTATAACGATGAAATCCTCCCCTTTCGGGAGAATCAGGTACAAAAAATTTGGTGACTTATTTCTTTTCGGTATTATTTTTCTTATTGTTATCCTCACCTGGTCTTAAGTGTATATTTGTCTTGGCCCTTGTTTGGTTACATTCAAGTCAGCAAGAGAAGAACAGTAAATCTATAAGAAGTTTATGTATGGTTAGTTGGTACTCATTCCTCAATGAACTTATGATTGATATGGTCCGGCCTGCCACCATTGGACAAAAAAAAGGAGAGCAAACGAGTTCAAAAAAGAGAGAAAAAAGTGAAAGAGAAGACTCTTTGCCATAAAATAAATGGCTTGTAAGATAAAACAGCATACAGAATGGAGTACTAGAAGATGCATTTATAAATGTAGTGGATTGGGCTGCCCCTTATATGTATTCATAAATGACTATATATCCTGCAAATTCATAGTATTGACATGTCTAATGTGATACAATTGGAGTTGGTGACCAATAACAACTACTCTACTACTGCACCTCAATTTCAAATTATTTCAGGTGGATTTTAATTATATGAATCTTCACTATCCACTTTGTTGCATTTGGATCACCTAGTGTAATGTGTGCCTAGGTGAGCATGTTTCAACGCATTTTGTATATCGTGGATTAGGAGTAGGAGTATACAATTGAAACCGATAATTCAAGTCAAATCGGGGGAAAAAATCTGATTGTGGTTTGGTATTAGAAAAAAAATCCAATTATAATTGGTTTGGTTTGGTTTTAACTAAAAAAAGTTAAACCGAAACTAAACCTACTCGATAATACATTTATACAAAATTTTAAAATATTTTATACATATAAATATTTCTTAAACTTTTTCATAGTTTTATTTTTTAACGTATTATTTCAATTTGGACTTAACATTCTTGAATGGTAAATAAATTTTATAGTCCATAAATGTAGTAACTCAACAAAGTTCAAATCTAACACTAGGAATGATGATAGTATTGGATATTTAATTTTTTTAGTTTTATGTTGGTTTACAACGAAAATGCACGATTTAGTTTATCTTTTTCTTTAGTGCTTAGTTATGTAATTAATAGTACTTATTAGCTATACTTATTTTAGCAGGATCTATATAGTATTTTTAGATTATGTTAATTTTCATTATGACTTATTAGTTAGCAATCTTCGCTTTATGCAATTTTATTATCTTTGTTATTGAATATTTTAGTATAATGCTATGAGTTATCTCATATTATTGTGTTATTTTCTTGGAAAATAAATTATGTAGTCGTATTTTACTAGGATTAAAGAAATATTTGGAGCACAAGTTACGTATTTTGTGCTATGAAGACTTTACCGGAAAAATCCGAAAACGTGAAAAATTCGAGAAAAACCGAGATTGAAAAACCCGACTTTGTTGGTTTGGTTTAGTTTGGTTTATAGATTTAAAAATCCGACACTATTGGTTTGGTTTAGTAATCAAAAAATTCTAATCAACCCAACCTATGTACACCCCTAGCGAAGATTCATTGTGAATTCACTAATTTTACACTGATTGACAACCTATTACATCCTCCTCTTTTATTCACCAATTACTTAAATTATCTTAATCGATGTATCTCATAGTATTGACATGTCTGCTATAATTCTGCTGGAGTGCATGACGTTCCTTGCCATTAGCAACGTCAGTGTTAAACTGGTTGTCCAACGCCTTAGACTCTATACAATTGCAATTGAACTAATACAACCCAAACATATACCTTAATTAATTATTTATTTATTTATTTATTTATCAAGGTTTCTTATTTTCTTGTTCCAGAACTTAGCGTGGGATGCATTGTGAATAAATACTTACATCGGATTACAAAGTGTCATTTTTTTAACCAAAACAAGTACAACGACGACGATGACGACCCAGTATAATCCCACAAGTGGGGTCTGGGGAGGGTAATATGTACGCAGACCTTACCCCTACCCCAAAGGGTAGAGAGGTTGTTTCCAGGAGACCCTCGGCTCAAAAAAGCAACAGGAGCCGATATATTAGTACCATAAAAATGCATAATAAAATAACAGCAATATAAGAGATATGAAATACAGAATACGAAATACGAAATAGATGGCTTGTATAGTAAAACTAGCAGGTAAAGCCCTGCATCAATAGACGACCAATGACATTCTTAGTCTAACTCCTAACCGGCTAGTCTCACTCTATTGTGCTGTAGAAATATTCACAAGTTTCCCCTAACCTATAATCTTAATGCTCGACCTCCATAATTCCCTGTCAAGGGTCATGTTCTCAGCAATCCTAAGTCCATTATTTGTCCCTTGGATTTTTTGCTCTCAAGCGCAACTCACCTTGAGAAATTAACAAATACTTAACCCACAATCTGACAATAGTTTAGCTAAAAGAAGGCCAGTATTTTTATGAAATACAGAAACTATTAATTCCTATAATTTGAAATAATATATGTATAAATAATTAGTCAAATCAATTCCAATGGGAACTTATGCTAACAAGAACCAATTCAACTTTTTTGTATCAAAAGCAACTCTAAAAGGAGGTAAATCAAAATAAAATTAATTTTTAAAAAATCGTTTTGTATCAAAAGTAACAAACAACAAACATGGGAACAAATATAGAAATTGAAAAAAGAGATAGAGAAAGAATCAAACATGTGATAAAAGGAATGAATTAGCAGAGTTGAATTAATCAATGTTGGTGGTAAATTCAGGCAAAAGCAAAAAAGATTGATTTTCAATATTTGCGAAAAATTGAAAAGAAATATCTTTTTCCACCAGACCTATTAAAAAAAGTTTTTAGTTTTTGTAAAACTGAAAAGGGTCTTCCGTTTGATTTTAAACAGGGAAAAACCACTCAGATTCTGCGGGAAAATTTTATTTTGTGTCTTATACAATTGACACTAGTTATATCAGCCAACATTTTTGTCTCACAGTTTTGTCGATCCAGATTTTTATGGACCCAGAAATATAAGATTGGGGTCCACAAATTGATGAGACAAAAAGAAATTTCATACAACTGTGTCAATGGTACGAGACACAAAATAAAACTTCTCGTACAAACGTGTAATACTATAATTTATAACTTGAGGTGGTATAGGATGTTACGTGTTCTGAAGCCGTAATAAACAAAAAAACGGCGTCGTTTCGCCGATTTTCGGTGTTCTCCAATATCCCCTGATTTATGTCTTTTGGTTGATTTTATTCCGATAATTCTTTTTCTTTTCTTTTCCCAATTGCAGTGGCTGTATTGTATCTCTTCATCTCTTTGAGCTTGTCGCTGGTAAATGATACATATAATGTCTTTTCTGCTTTTTCTCAGGATTTTAAAGCTCTGTCTTTTTCCCCTTTATTTTGATTGCTGATTCTCCTTCGCTTTTCTTCTGTAATAAATATGTGTAGTATTGAATTATTATGGCTTGAACCAAAGTCTCAAAAAAAAAAATGAAGAAAAAGTTCCAACTGCTGTTATGTAGTTTCTCAAATGAGTTATAACTACTGAAATAAAGAGAGTTGATGTTTTTAATTCAAGTAATGTAGAAGGTGTCCTATAAATTCCCTGCATCATGATTGTGTTTCTAACTTGAATCCGCAAACCTGATTGGTTGTTTTTGCCTCAACATTTTGCAGGCACAGTTAGATACTTGAGATGCTGGTGGACGAGGCAAAAATCTTGCTAGGCTTTTCCACTAATTCTTGCCCCACTCCTTGTCAGGTATATATTTTTATGTCTATTGTATACATAAAAAGGTGTGTGGCATGCTTGTTTCTTATACTTCCTCCGTTTCAATTTATGTGAACCCATTTGACTGGGCACGGAATTTAAGAAAAGAGAGAAACTTTTGATCTTGTGGTGTAAAATGAGGCACATATATTATGTGTGGCTATAAATCATTGTGTAAAGGTAAATTGTTTCCAAACAAGGAAAGGGGTCATTCTTTTTGGCACTGACTAAAAAGAAAATAGGTTCACATAAATTGAAACGGAGGGAGTATTATTTAGCATACTACATAAATACCAACACGAGGTGAATGTAGTACCGGGACAGTAAAACAATAACAACTGAGTAAGCGAATTACCATTCAACCAATAATTCAAGAATATTTTTTGAGAAGGTTTGCCCGGCCATTCAACCAATATTTTTACAAGGTAATAGAATTCTGTTCCCTTTCAACTACGAATGCTTCCTTTTATGGAGGAAAACCTTTAGACACTGTTAAATGTGATATAACCAGCATCAAGTTCAAAGGGCATCTCATGTGAAATGATCTATCTCATTTATCCGGTCACCTTCCACTGGAACTCTCACTCAGCAACCTCCTCTTTCCGTCAACGTACTTCAGTAGCTTAGCTCAATTATCTTTGTTCTTTGTTTTTCTACTATGCCATCATCCATGTATTTACCGAAGATTTGGGACGGCCCACTGATTATGACTCTTACTGCTTCCTACTATCTCAATCTATTGTTTTCTTGATTTTGTTTATCTTAATATTACATTTATATTATTATCCCAAACTGTCATCGCCTTTTTCAGCAGTCGTGCGACTTATTTAAAATTGGTTCCCCATCTCTTGAACTTTTTTTCTTATTTAGGTCATTTTGTAAATTCTTACTTCGAATTGCCAAAGGAAGAAACTTTTCTAAAATTTCTTGTCTAATTGCTGATACATCTTAACCAAATTATATAATATATCCATTAGAGGAGAGATGGTATAGTGAGCAGAATGAGGAAACTAAAAATTCTTGTCTAATTGCTGATACATCTTAACCAAATTATATAATATATCCATTAGAGGAGAGCTGGTATAGTGAGCAGAATGAGGAAACTAAAAATTCTTGTCTAATTGCTGATACATCTTAACCAAATTATATAATATATCCATTAGAGGAGAGCTGGTATNCCCCAGGGTTTACAATGAGGGTTTTGTTTCCTTTTTCTCCCTTTGATTTTATTTATCATTTGGAATAAGTGGAGAATTAAACTGAGGATACTTGCAAATTATCAATTGTAAATATATTTAATTGCTTATCATTAGTGAATGGCAATAGACCCTTGGGTCACCCTTCTCTGGACCCCGCGCATTGGAGCTTAGTGCACCGGGCTGCCCTTATTATTAATGAATGGAAATTTTCTCCACAAACAAGTTTTATTTACGAATGGATAAGCGTAAAAAGGAGTGAATATATGCTCCCTCTGTATGTGCGTGTTTTTTTTTTCATTTCTTTATCTTATTTGCTACATTGATCACCCAATGCTAGTTCCAATTTGTTTGAAAAACATAAATGTTTTCATGAACTCAGAGGACTATTTTGTGGTCGGTTCAGTAATAGTTTAGTATCATTTATGAGTTCTGTAACTTGTTTCTAGAAGAATTAAGCTTAGGGCTATTTGAATGTGGTTGATGTTTGGGCACGAAACCAAAAATGATGCTTAAGCAACAATTTTCCTCAGATTTGTAACATATATTTGTTACTTTTTATTTCATTTTATTTTCTTTTTCGTTGTTTTGTCTTTATTAGGATTCTGAAAAACTTATGCAGGTAGTGATTTTTTGTAAAAGATATATTACTGCCTGTGTGCCGCCATTTATGAAACTAATCATAGTGCCACATTTCAAACAAATGTAGGTCAAAGCTGCTTATAGAAGGAAGGTATGGGAGACTCATCCAGATTGCTTTCCAGTTCATCTCAAACCTGATGCAGAACTCAAATTTAAGATGGTAAGCTTTCCACTTTGTTGGCACAACGACCCCCACCCCCATGCCTTTTCTCCCTTGAAACAACTACTTTATCGAATTTCATATTTTTCCAGTGTTTATTTTCGTCATTTCTACTTATGATACCTGGTGATCTTTTTCTTTGAAACTTCATTTTCATCAATATTGGAGCATCACAAAATAATGTTGCCCTTGGGACTAAGTTATATACTATGTAATGTGGTCTTACACGCTCTATGTTATAGTAAACAGAAAAAGCTATTGGCTCGTTCAACATTTTCTCCATTATAAACTTGCCTTAATAAGTGTGTTATCCCAAAACCAAGGTAGTCTTTTGGAACCATTTAGTAGAGCGAAGAAATAATTTTTGCTATGAGAACCAGTATCTTCATTGATCCTTCTGGTAACTCTCGTGCTGTATGAATTTCTCCCCTCTTTCTTCAACTACACACTTTCTTTTTTGATAACCATGGTGTCCGGGCCAACTTGTGCGCACCTCTACTAATTCCACGGGATACGGGCTACCTCCCACCAGCAACAGGTACCAGGTAACTCTATCCATAAGGCTTGGATAGAAGGAAAGAAATCACCTAGTGTTTTTCGGATTTGAACCTGAGACATCAAGTTCTCAACCCACTTCATTGACTACTAGGCCACACCCTTGGGTGCCAACTACACACTTTCTTAATCTAATAGTGTGGGCAAAAGCGTAATTCTTTGTCCTTCACCTTTCCTCTATCTGAATGATGAAGGTTCAGTTTATGTGTGTCATTTCTTTTCTATAAGCTTTATTTGATTGGTCATTGTTACTGAAGTTTAAAATGTGTGTGGATGCAGATTTCAGAAGCATACACTTGCCTGCTTTCTGGTAATTCTCATGTCTTAGCACATCTGCAATATGTGACAAGCTAAATAGATTCATTTTGAAACCTTTACTGATGAAATGGCAAATTAATATGATTTTCAACTAAAGAAAGAACCTCCTTCCACTTTCCGCTTACAATATTGTTTCTTTCTCCACTCATCTTGTCCCTTTTAAAAACATGTAGTGTATAATTCTCCATTATATATTCCTGCGAGAACTACTGTTAGATCTTCCTTATATTCCTTTGATGTTACAAGCTTTGATCCAGTTCCTGTTCTTTAAAGCATTGACAGAAAGCTAAATGTTCCATTTAGCCCCTGTGTCTTTAGTCTAGTGGAAAGAGTAGTACACGTGATGTGTAGTGTCAGGTGCACGTGACAAGTTCGGACTTGTCGCATGGCAAGGACTGGTATTTAAGTGGAAAAGGTGAGAGACATTATCCTCTGGTGGGATGAGATAAGGTATTTGCTCCTTTAGAAGTGTGAGCTTCTAAGGACCCTTAATTTGTCTTAAACTATTGATGCTTTGTGATGGACTAGTTTATTCATGGTTAGAAATGGAAATGGAATTCGTTTTTTGCTGGATATCCACTATGGGAATACCACTCTGAAAAAATGACTTCCCCCAAAACCTTTTTTACACAACTGATAAGAGTGTTAAAATAGCGGATCATCTTGTGAGAAACAGATGCCAAGTATCATCAGATATATCACTCACGAGGCTCAAGACTAGAAATGTGGCTGTGTTGCTGAATTTTCTTTCCCAACATTTCGTTGCGCAAATGGATGTAAGTTCCAGTTGAGTTATATGAATTATTTGTAATTGTGTCAAAAGAAGCCAAAAAATTCCAGAAGAAATATCCGAGCATATAATATCATATTTGCTTTCACGTCTTTTGGAGTTAAGCTTCATAAGAAATGGCATTTTCAAGGAAAGAAGTTTCTACTTTTAAGGCATATGGATAAAATATATCACGATCTTTCATCATCAGTCCCACGAGTTGTGCAACAGGGTGTCAAAATTCCAAGAAGCAAACTTATCAGATGAAGTGATAGAAATCCATATACACAATTCTTTCTCCTACTATAAGATTATTCGACATTTCGAAATGTACAAATTTGAACTGCTGCTAATGCTTCTTTAGATCGTGTGTATAACATCCTCAGTAGATTAAGTTGCTGCAATTTGAATAGATGGAAATAATGAACATTTAGACAACAAATATCGAGTAAAATACTATTATGGCTGTTATGACACGCTACCATTCGTGTTGATGGTTGCAACTTCATCTATGTAATGCTGCTTTTTGAATTGCGACATTTCCTTATTCTTTGATGCCGACCGCCTTCACCTTTCGAAAAAAGTAAAGGATATTGTAGCGGGTCATAATAACCATACTAATGTATTACTCTATGTTTGTTGCATGAATGTTCATGGATGGTAATATCTCTTTCGAGCACAATATTTGGATTGTTGTAGTCTATCCAAATTGCAGTAACTTGATCTATTGAGTGTGTTATACATATATTGATCTAAAGAAGCATTAATAACAATTCAAATTTATATATTTGAAAATATACGAATGATTTTTTGGCTGGCAAAGAATTGTGCATAAGGATTTCCATCTATTATTGGCCCGATTTCGCCCACCAGTTCCTCTGATGAGTTTGCTTCTTGTAGTTTTGACATCCTATTGCACAAATCATTATTTGTATTATAAAGTTGAAAGTAACATGGATCATCATTACGTGGGACCAATAATAGAAGATCGTTACCTGTGCCTTTATAGTGTAAACACCTTTCCAGAATATGTCATTTTTTTATCAAACTTAACTCCAAAAGACATAATTGTAAAGATGCTATTATATGCTTGGATATTTTTGCAAAATTCATTGTCTTCTTCTGGTCAGCTAACACTAGTTCATACAACTCAGCTGGAACTTTGGTGGTTACTAGTTTGATACATCAACTTGTGCAACAAATTGTTGGAGGCTTTTATTGAAACTTCTTAGCATGACAAAAGGTCCATTCAGGAGCTTTTTGCTACTTATTATTATATGATGATAATAACTGGTAAGTAGTATCTCCTAATTTCACATAGGAAAATATTATATAGTATTAAGAGTCTAAGACAAATATTTTCTAAAATGTCATAAAAACAAAGAAAGTCAATCTAGCTATTGCACTAGAAGTACCTCCATTCAGTACTCTTATGATAAATCCTCAAGTAACCAGCTTATTTTTGGCCTTTTCAGTTGTGCTTCTTCAAAGTGTACATCTTGTTGGTTGAGTTGATGATGCAACCAGCTTATTTTTGGCTTTTCAATTCATCTCACCTCCCTTCATAATCAGCACTCTATGTTACAATTGGTACAAGTTGCACTGTTATTCATAATGTTCACTCTCCTGTAGCATTTTTGGCAAGAAGAATACTACGGCTGAGTCTTTGTTCTATCAGATCCTAAAAACCAAAAGAACTATAATATCCGCGCAATTCCAAGCCTGCTCATGTTTTCCAATGCCTTTATGTGTGATGTGTAAGAGTGAGGAAGTTAGAACTTTTCACGCAAATCTCTTATATATCCTCTAAGAAGAACCCTTACCACTTTGAATAACTTGTTGGATATTTTTCTTGTGTAGCTTTACACAATGATCCCAGTACCACTTGTCTACAAAGCAAAATAGACAGTTTTAGGATAGCAATCAAATTTTGAATCCAGTAGCATTAAACCGGCCATTTTCCATCATCAATTGTCTCTGTCCCTAATATTTCAATAATTGAAATTAGGGAAACCAAATATGCAGTAACTGTATGGCCTATAGTTTAAGGGTTCGAGTCGTGGAATTAACCACTGATGCTTGCATTAAGGTATGTTGCTTATATCACACCTCCTTGGGGTGTGACCCTTCCTCATGCCGTACGTGAACGCGGGATGCTTCGTGCACTTGGCTGCCCATTTGCCAAATGTGCAGTAACCCAAATTTCTAGGGCTCACTAAATTTTACCCCAAGATAAATATGGTGTGTGCATTTTGTTGTTTAGAGCTCTATCAATGTACACTTATTTGTTATTACTTGCTGTTTTTATTTGTTCCTTGCTCTCTTAGTTGGGTTCATCGTCTCACTTTGAATAGCAATTACAGGTACAAGACACGAAGGTCAACACGGTGGTAAGTTACTCTAGAGCTCCATAATTGTGTCCATATACATGTGTGTGTTTATGTGCACATATAACATGGGATTAACCCCTGATCTAATGGAAAGATAATGTTTTGTTATCAGTTGGATATTCACGTGTTGTAAGAAGTGGAGTTCCTAGAGGAGGGAGGAAAAATCATCCACTGATTGGGCTTCCCTTTATTTTTATTATTTTGGGAACTGTAACATTGGGAGGAACAAATATTGCCAGGTAATTTGTCATGTTGATTGTGAGATGTTGTTTTGTTGCTTGAGGAAAAGATTAATGAGATGATCTGAATATATGCCTTTTATACCTTTTCCACTATCAGGGCCTACAGAAAACAGAGGGCGGATTGTCCTTCTCATAATCCTTTTCTCCCTTGATTTTTCCAAGTTTCTGCAACATTATGTACGTAGTGGCATGGTATGTACAAATATGGTGCGGCGTTAGTCCTCTATGAAAATGTAGCTGATCCAATAAGCTTCAATGAGTCTCATTCGCGGCACATTTATTAAGTTGTGTTTGTGAACTTTCAATTGTAATTCTGAAGTTGTTCATTATGTAAATTAGACGCTAGTTTAGGTGAAGGATGGTAAAGTTGCTGCCATGTGACTAGGAGGTCACGAGTTTGAGCCGTGGAAACAGTCTCTTGCAGAAATGCAGTATAAGGCTGCGTACGATAGACCCATGTGGTCCAGCCCTTTCCCGGACCCCGCGCATAGCGGAAGCTTAGTGCACTGAATTGCCCTTTTATTTTTTAGCTGAAGGATGCTTTCAAAATGAAAAATGTAAGCCCTTGCTCCAATTTGTCTCTATATCACATGAAAGGAGGAAGAGCAACTAAAAAGAACAGCATGACATGTAATAATCCCATAATATGGTCCAGATTGCCATTACTTTATCAATTTCCATTACTCATTTATATTCATGTGCCAAATTTTAGTACAATGTATGTGCATATTTCGTGAAAAGCTGTGGAAACGGCCAAAACCTTATAAATAAGTGTATCAGATGTACGATTATGAAATAGTATTATAGCACCACTTTTTTAATATTTAACGGACTTCAGATTCATTAAAAAGTGAAGTCCACTTTGATTCCATTGAAGCAATCTAATCTCTTATATATTTGTACTCCTAAATTAAATGTTTATGTTTCATTTTATTTTCTTATACAGTTTTTTGAAAACATTCACTTTTCTTAAGATAATCTTTAGTCGATCATTAATTTCCTCGCGCACTCTTAATTTTCTCGTTCTTACTACCAAAAGAGAATGAAACAACACACGACTGTCGCATGTTGCATATTTGATATGATTCGCTCCCTTCTTCTAACAACATTTGACTTTCAATTTTAACGTAAAAATAGCACGGTATAGCTTGTTTTCGGACCGGTCATTCAAAAATAGTTAGCGTTTATTAAGTCAATAAAAAATAGCCACTATTTTGTTACAACAGAGACCGATCCAGCATAATATACTGGAGTTCGGTGCACCTTTGTATGAACTCCAGCATATTATGCTGGATCGGTATACTTTATTGGCTCCAGTATAATATACTGGAGACTAGAGCACCGGTGCTCCAAACTCCAGTATATTATGCTGGACCGGTATACTTGCTGGAACTCCAGTATATTATGCTGGAGTTCTAGTGTACTTATGCTGGAACTCCATCATATTATGCTAGAGTTCCAGCATACTTATCATGGAACTCCAGTATAATATGTTGGAGTTTAAGTATACTTATGCTGGAACTCCAGCATAATATACTGGCGTATTTTCCGGGTTTTGAACAGTATTTTCGCTTAGATTTATCTTTACATAAAAAGTAGCTAAATTTCGATTACTTTTGAAACTGGGCTATTTTTGAACGACCTGTTGTAAATCTGGTTATTTTGAATTTCTCCCAATTTTAACTTGTGCTTTACTTAACTAAAGATTGGATATATATTTGGTTGATAACTTGAAAAAATGAAATTTTATAGATGAGATGAAAATGATTTTTGAAAGTTGAAATTGTGTTTGAACATGCATTTTATTTGAAAATAATTTGAAGTTTTTTGCGAGTAAAAACAAAAGCTTCAAAAACTACTCTAGAGCTGTTTTTGGGATTAGAAGAATTTGTTTTCAAATCTACTAAGAGCCCGTTTGGACATTAAAAAAAATTACTTTTTTTTTTCTAAATTTTTTCACTATTTTTAAAATTTTTAATTTTCACTTGAAGATGAATTATGGAATTTTTGAAAAATTTGAAAAACCCCAAAAGTGTTATAAAATAAAGACTATAAAGTAAAGACANTAAAGTAAAGACAAGTATAGAGAGAAACTGATATATTATTCGAATTCAAACTGATGTACATAATGAACTGAAATCTCTTCTATTTATAGAAGAAAGGAAGCTGCTCTGTAAGCTGCTACTACAAGCTGCTGTGTAAGCTGCTACTACAAGCTGCAGTGTAAGCTACTATAAGCTGCCACTACAAGTTGCTGTGTAAGCTGCTGCTTTACCAGATATGGATAATCTTCTACTGAGAGCAATATTTATCCATAACGGAGTACTGAATGGATAAGCTTATTATATCTGGTATGGATAATCTTCTACCGGAGGTAATGTTTATCCATAACCGAGTACTGAAAAGATAAGCTTATTATACCCGATATGGATAAACTTCTACTGGGGGTAATGTTT